CCAATAATTGTTTCAGTTGGTTTAGATTGGAAGTGATTAGTTAAAATTTGAGTAATATTTTTGAAAGTACATAGAATTTTGTAAAAGTATAGTGAAATTGGGTGAAATTGAATGTAATTAAGTAAATTTTAAGTGAAATTAAATACAATTCAGAACACATAATTTGCCAAATACACTACTAAGAGTTTTTGATAGAATAATATTCAAAATTTGAAATTGCATGAATGTAACTAGTCACTAATGTACATAAAATAATATATTTAGTCTCTAGCAGAATCAATTTCAAATATAATCAATTACAGATCTTATCGATTTTGGGTTTACCAGTTTTGGATCTTATCGATTTCGAGAATTATCGGTTTTAGATTTAACCGCTCGAATCTAATCATTTTCAGATTTAAATCACGTATGGATACATTTATTTTGGATTCGGTTCCGTTTCAGATCATTTCGTTGATTTGGTTTTTTATCGAACCTTCACTTTTCGGACCATTTTGGTTTTGGATCATTCACTTCGGGGGATCAATTACAGTTCTGTTTAACTACGTCTAGTTTAGAATGACATTGTTTTGGTTGACATTTTTTTAAATAACTTCTATAAAAAGTTACATATTGGTCCCTTTTAAAACTTCTATAAACTGTTCTTGATTTGTACTCAATATTTAACTGAGTTAACATCATGACCCATTTGATCATTCTCTTGGAGGAGGTCGAGTTCCTTAGGGCCGAGTAGACGTAATCAATATTTGGGCCGGGTTGAGAGGATACATTATAAGAGTTTTTAAGGCTCGAGCCCGGCCCGCGTGTCGGGCCTAAAAATGAAACTCGACCCTGGCCCTATGCACGGGTTTCGGGCCGGCCCACATTAATAATAAATTATGAACATATAAAAAAACTTTTTAACACTATTTTGAAAACAAGAAATTAAATTTTAAACATTAACATATTTGGTGTGTAAATTTTAGCAAACAAAAAATGGTACAGTGTATGTATATCACGGAGTATAAACTAGAGTACATACTTTGCATAAACGTTTAGTAACATGAGTAAAAAGTGACTAATGAATAATATTTTGTATATGTTTTTAAGCAATCATATTACGTATTGAAGGGGTTTATATTTTATACTACTCTGACAACTTTGTATTATTTATATACTTTCATATCAATTATTTATAGGGATCAGGCCGGGCCGCTTGTAGGCTTTAAAACCACAACCCATACCCGGCCCGCAACATTTGCGGGTACCCAAAATTTACGGGACGGGCCAGGCCGAATGCTAAAACTCAAGCCTGTTTCTTTTCGGGCAGGCCTATCAGGCTGAGTCAGATACCTGAGCCCATGATTTGGTCTAGGGCCGAGCCAAGGGACTAGTCGATAAGTACTTCAATTGCATGACTAGTATGAAACCAATTCTTTAAAAGTGACAAAAAGGGCATGCACAATTTTTTTACGGCCGCATATGTATTATCTTTGAGCTCCATTTAATGTTTTGCTCATGTAACAAATAGACTTCTCGGACCTATCATCTCTTATTAAAACTAAGCTTATAGTGTGTGGGAATTCCCTAATTATCTATTTATTTAGTAGGTTCTAACTACTGAAACTCATTCTACAAACTAAGGGCACTGGAAATGCATCTAACACCGACCAGCGTGAGGGGGCGTTTCACGCCCAGGGGGGCGTTAAACACCGCCCCCTGCGGCGTTACCGGGGCGTTAGAAGCTCTGCGTCATTCATTTGACGCGGCTGTCTTCCCCTTTTAGCTGTTACCCCCCACCCCCAACGGCTACATAGCCGTTACCCCCCCCCCCCAATAAACAAATTCTAAATTTTAAAAAAACCTATAAATTCCCCCCTTTCTCTCACACATTTCTCACTGTCTTCTTTCTAAAATATTTATTATTTATTATAAATATTTATAAAATATATTTTAAAAATGGGATCATCTTCATCCGACGATGAAAAAAGAGCTTTCATTTTTCATTGTTTCGCCACGAGTTGCATTGAATGGTGGGAAGAAGGCGAAGAAGAAGAAGCCGAATCCTCCCGATGATGGACCCGACGACAACGTTTAAACCAGGATCGAGCGGCCGCCCACGCTTCACTTCTAAACGACTACTTTAATAATCCGTGTGTTTATACACCGGAGGATTTTAGTAATTGTTTTCGGATGAGTCGTACTCTCTTTTTACGTGTACTCGCCGATGTTGAACGTGAAGTTCCTTGGTTCACCCAATGCTTTGATGCGAGAGGCCGATGCGGGTTTAGTAGTGTCTAGAAGTGCACTGCCGCGCTCCGTCAGTTAGCGTACGGGACGACATCTGATATGTTTGACGAATACTTGAAGATGTCGGCTCGGAGCATCAGGTCCTGTGTTTATAAATTTCTTAAATCTATTATTCAAATTTATCATAAAAGATATTTACGCAAGCCTAAAACGAGCGACATCCAACAGTTACAGGCAAGACATGCCGCTAAACACGGCTTTGTCGGCATGCTTGAGAGTATTGATTGCATGCATTGGGAATGAAAAAATTATCCCACTGCGTGGCACGGTAAATTCTCCCGGGGAGATCATCCCAAGCCTACTATCATGCTCGAAGCTGTTGCTTTTAATGACTTGTGGATTTGACACGCTTTTTTCGGTGTCGCGGGCTCAAACAACGACATCAACGTTCTCGATCAATCGCCTGTTTTTGACGATTGGATTAATGAGACCGCACCCGACTCTTCTTTTGAGCTTAGAGGGACACTTTACAAGCGTGGATATTATTTGGCCGATGGAATATATCCAGATTATTCCACGATTGTCAAATCCCTCTCCGAACCAATGGGTCTTAAACGCCAGACCTACAAAAAAGCTCAAGAGGCGGCAAGAAAAGATATTGAACGAGCCTTTGGGGTCTTGAAGGGTAAATGACACATTCTAGATTATCTGTCGAAATGTTATTCTCAAACGAAAATGAGGAATATCATGTACGCATGTATTATTCTTCATAATATGATCATAGAGGACAACGGGACTGCGATTTGTCAATACAACCCGGACGAGGAGGTGCCTATGTACGAAGAAATCAACGAAGAAAAGAAACGAAGAAACCGCCAAGAAATTCGAAGCCAAGAGATTCACAATGCACTAACGGCGGATTTGATCGAACATATCTTTAGTCGTTCGAATAATTAGTAATTTCTTTGTAGTGTTGTTTTTTATGTAGTATTTTTTAATGAATGTAATTTCTTTTATGAATGTATTTTTTATGAATGTAATTTTTTTTAATGAATGTAATTTTTTTATGAATGTAATATTTTTTTAATGAATGTAATTTTTTTAATGCACTAGTCTCATTGCGATTAATTTAAATAATAAATTAATTTAAATTTATTATTTTAAATTTAGAAGATGTATATTTAAAAATGTAAAAAATAAAGGTTTGAAGCCCCAGTTTGAAGCTCCAGGGCTTCAAACCCATTTCCAGTGAATCAGTGAGGTAAGTTAAAGCTGATGTGGCAGAGAGAGAAATTCTGAAGCCCCGATTTGAAGCCTCGGGGCTTCAAACGTATTTCTAGTGCTTTAAGTGTGGGAACCCACATGACATGAGACCGAGTATATCTAACCGGAAAGTGATGTTCAACCTGTTCACCCCGTTGGAGTGTAGATCAAGGTAGGTGTTAGAGTTAAATCTATGAAAAAATTATGTTATATAACTAGTGCTTAAAGTAAAGTCCGTCAAAATGTCAAATACTTTAAATGGGCTTAGACTATGTTTTATTCCTATAATAAAATTTACTAGGTAAATCTCATATTTTTTAAAATCATTTTATTTACAAATTCATATATTGACAAAAAAAATAAAAATTACATTTTAAAAAACTACGTCAAAAATTCTATAAAACAAGAGGTGACAAGAATCTTTTATTTTATCAAATAATGAATGAAAAATATACAAATAAACAAAAGTTATCGAAAGAAGAAAAAAAAATTATAATCAAAATTAGGATGGAGGGAATAATAAATTTGGAGATCCATGGTCAAAGTTCTAAACTCCAATCATACTCTATGGATCTTTTGTTTGAACTTTTTTTAAAATGTGTTCATGAAATACTTCTTTTGTCTCAAATTAAATATTTTGTGTATTATTCCCATAGTCAAGTTTATTCATTTTTTCACTATTTTTGTTAGTTATTTCATAAAATAATATAATCTATCACCACTTATTTTGTAGAGTTTTAAGAAATCGCCCCAAATATAAGTGAAATATACAGTAGCATTTATCTTCAAAATAGGAGTCATGTTTTTATCATAAAGTGGGAGTTTGCATCACAATATGATATTGTATGATGGCATCTATTTTTTTACTCCGTAATATATATTGGCATTACTACCATTATACTCCTATTTTGGAGATAAGAAATATGGTGCTCCTAATTTTATATTTTCTTCATGTTTCACTCCTAGTCTGATCATTTTTTCTCAAAAGCTTTTGATATAGAGAGTAATTTTCAAATATGTGTTTTTTTTTGTAATTTTACCCCAAATGTCTTATAAATTGAATGAAAAATAATTCTAATCAAACATCATATTTTTACATTTTTGGATTACTATTTTCTTCAAGGGACATAAGAAGCATTCAAAAGAAGAAGAATCCTTATATATTTGCAGAAGGCAACCTCAGGTCGAATCCCTATATATTTCATCACATTTTTTTATTTATACCAACCCTTAAAAATCCATCGTTTTAATGAAACTCTTTGAAAATCTATAAAAAAGATTTCAATACCATTAAATTCAAACAGATATAAACACACTGAGATTTCATATAACAGATATTTTAAAAGCTTAGTTAAATATACACCGAGATTTTTTAAAAGAATATTCCTCCGTAAAATTTTAATTGAATAGCCGTAGATATTTAAAATACAAAAAAGCATGGAATCTAATATTGAATTCGAATGCACCCCCGTAGGATGTTTGTAAAGTCTTTCCTATTACAACAGTTTAGGTAATCTCTATATAGTTACCCTTTGATAAAGCAGCTACAACACTCATCCTATACAGAAATTAACCTCATACGGAGCTGGTTGTTACATGAACTTGCCCAATCATAGAGTACACAGACGAACTTCTCCCTTGACTTGAGTAGTAGGAAGCCCGTTCCTCAGGATTTTTGGGAAAATTCTCCCAAGTTCGAGCCCCAACAAAGGCAAAGACATTGACTTTTCGTGCGTCATTTAAGAAATGTATGAACAAATACTACATTGTATTAGAGTCAATAACATTAAAAAAACAATGCACAGATGAGTGCCTTAATATATATACATATATCCTGCAAGTACTTGTGAAGGAGACATTAGAATTTCCTTCACAAGTTACACCAAGGTACACCAAGTTACACCACCCATGCATCTACCACACATTTCTTATCTAGAACTCAAAAATTAAATTCTCGATAAGAAGGAAATGTGTGCTGGATGCATGGGTGGTACATGCCCCAAGCATTTTGGTTTCCTTCATTCACTCACGGCATGATCGGTGCTAACAGCTACGGCAAGTGATTGCACGCCGAAGCACTGAATGAGGAGGTTATCCACACTTCATCGGACTTCACAGCTTCATCGTCGTCATTACGATGCCAACTCCAATAGGCATGAGTTGAATTAACAATCGTGAGCGCTCCGTGTCCAAAGCTGGCTTCACGGAACATAGACCACTCCGGTTGGGGTTCATCATACCTGTCATCATATGATAATTTCACACAAAACCCCGAGGAATTTCATGGCAATTGCAATGCACACACAACCTCAAAATGAGGCGTATAACCCAAATACAATACTTACTCTGTTGCTAACCCTTCTTTGTTCCCTCCATCACCTATTGTTATATGGACAGGACCACATTGATTGGGTTTGCCATTGTAGACTCGTTCCTGAAGTAGTACACAATCATCCTAAATATAAATTTCCCAGTTGGAATTAACACGCTTTGAGACAAAAATAAAAGGAAATAATGATGTTTATTTTGTGACACATGGGTAGAGAGAGAGAGAAAGAGAGTGTGTGTGTGTGTCATATTGGAAAAAGAAATTCAAACAAAGGGCATACGGTGCGCTCGTAAGCATGAACATGGCCTGTAAACAGAATGTCTGCCCCATGCTCATAAAGCAATGGCTCCATTGCCTCCATCATGTCATCTCCTTCCCTTTGATGGGCCTTATTACTGTTATACCAAGGCACATGGAATAGAACGACTAACCAGGGCGTCTCTTCGCGATGTGATTTGAGTTTGAGAAGATCAGCCTATATAGAAATTTAAATGCCAAATGATTTGTGCTCTCTCTGTCCCGAAATTTGCTATCCACTTTAAAACTCTTATTTTAAAAGTGGGTAGCTAATTAAGGATAATCAAAAACAATAAAGTAAACAACTAAATCCAGACGGATTAGCATACAAAAGCAACATGATGAGTAAAAACATATAATTTGAGAGGGCAAATTGAGGGATCAACTAACCTTAAGCCAGCTATACTGAGGGGAGTTCTCGGCATAATCTGTATAAGAGCCGAGCATGACAACGTGAACCCCAGCCACATCAAATGAATAATACAGATTTGAAGAGGAACCACTCTCTATGAAAGGCATTTTCCACCTCGAGTTATAAGACTCAAACCCTTCGTTAACTAGGGGGACGAGTTCCTCCTTATCATGGTTCCCTTGTGTGACCATCCATGGCCTTGCACTTGCAAGAGGCTGCACCAGATTACCAAAGGTGTCCCATCGCCTTTGAATGCGATTGGCATAGGACAGGTCTCCAGGTAACAAAAGAACATCATGTTTGCATTGTTCTATGTGGTCTAAAGTTGACTTAGTCCATTCTGTCTGCCCCAAATTGCCTGCCACTGCAAAAGTAAGTGGGAACTTGGAAGGCAAAGTTTTGAGATGAAACTCAGGATCTCTTCCTCCACATCTGTAATAATACACAGTGTCATCCTCCAGTGGTCCAATCACTGTGTGGTGAATTAACCCTGAGGTGTAAAAGACATATCTATATTTTGTGCTTTCTCCATCAGCATTGAAGGTGTAATTTCCGGGTGATGTGCCATATTCGACAAAAGGAGAGGATTCATAACTGGTGATCCATGATACTCGTATTTGTTTATCTCCAGCCAAGGATATGTGAACCTAGAGTCAAACATTATCATGAACTCAGGGGTATCCATTAGAGTATAAAAACCTTTCATGTGCCTAAAATCATAAGCTTGAGCTTTTGGTTGAGTTGGTTCCTTAAAATCGTATCAAAGCCTTGCGGACGAAGAGGTCACGAGTTCGAAATTCACACTCACCCAGTTTTAAAGAATAAATGTTCACGTGTGCTCGAGCAAATACAAATCTCACCTACACGTTAGGGGCATGCTAGCGTATAAAAACCTTTCCTGGGCCTACAACCACAGCTTTTGCTTTGAGTTGGTTCCTAATCCTTGACGGTATCAATCAACCTCCCAAAATCATTTTTGCACAAATGCTATTTGCACCAATAATTCACAAACTTGAATGTGGAAATTAAGAAAATTAGGATGCAAAAAGCGAGGAGTAATGATTTATTGAGTTGGAGATCATCATCTAGATTCTAAAATAATTCTTCGGCCCCTAAATAAACTTCATTGTCATTCAAGCCACAAAAAAAATCATGGTCATTACTGGTCAAACTGCAACATTTTTCTTTGTTTTTTTACTAGTAGAACAAGGAGTAAAATACTCTTGCCACAACTTTGCTTATAAAAATCTTGCCTGCTGAGGTTGAGAAGAAGTGTTTGGATCCCAAGGAAAACTCAAAGTTTTGCGCGGTGGAGGTCTGACGTACTCGGCCGCCGCAAGGGAGGAGGCGATCAGGGAAACCGCTATCAGTGCAGCCAGATTCTGGTCCATCGCGGGGCGAAGATTGGAGATATGGCGATTCAAATGCGGCGGAGTTTATTTATACGAGCTCAATCAATCATATCCTCCGGTGGAAACGCGTGAAATCGGGGTGTGTTCATCCTTTTTTCTTCCCCTACGCAATAGGACTTTATCGTTTCTGCGGAAAACAGAAAACTCCCAAATTGCTTTTTTGGTTTTCAATCATTCCCTAAACCCAACTTTACTTGCTGGTGAGTAAATCTAATGTGGCATTTTCATTGTGGAATAAATTAGAGAGAAATAATGGAGGATATAGGCTGCAATGCTGAATAGAATGAGGGAAATGTACTTCATATTCGATTTAGTTTTTTTTACTCCAATTTAAGATGAAATCTTTTTTGTAATACTCAATAAAATGCAATGATTTGTTTTTCAAAATTATCAACAAAATAAATCTAATTAAATTGTTTTGAGATTCAGAGTTCTTCCAGTTTCATACGAAAATGTCAAATTAGACCAATACATTAGCATTGGTACAAATGTAGAGCTTATTCTTTAAAGTTTAAACTCTTAATTTCTAATTTCTTTTAGTTTTTCTAATTTCTTCCAATTCCTTTCTATTCTTTCTTAGTTATTTTCAGTTTTTTCCAATTTTTTCTAACTTTTCCAATAATTTCGATTTTTTTCAATCTTTTTCTACGACTCAAAAAAATTATACTCCCTCCGTTCCAGAAAACCTTTCTCCTTTCTTTTTTCATTCGTCCCAAAAAACACTTCTCATTTCTATTAAAAAGTCACTTTTATCACTTACTTTTTCATACCCTATCTATCACATCATACCTTTTTACTAATAATCTATCTATTAAATCATACTTTTACCCATCACATCAAAGGACATTTTTGGAAATTCAATACCAAAATACACTTCCCTTAAATCCCTTTCTAGAACCAAAGCTCTCATGTTTTTCGGGATGGAGGGAGTATGTTTTTTAGGTATTATTATTATTACTAATATATTACAATTATTATTATAACTTCCCAAAGAAAGACTCTAAAAATGATGTGTTTTTTCACGTATTATTATTATACTATAAGTATTATTTCTATTATTACTATTATTTATATTGTTGTTGTTCATGCTATTATTATAATTATTATAATTATTATGTTCATAAGTAATAATTGTGATTTGCTATCATAATTATTTTTCGTTGATTTTTAATAATGGTAATACGAAGCATTTGTTTTTTTTAAATTTACATGACCCTGAACGGTTTCTAAAAATTAGAAATATTTTATTAATTTAAACTGATCTCAGGAAAACATCAATACTTTAGATTAAAAAATTAATAATTATATTACTTCCTTTGTCTATAACTAAATGGCACGTAAACCAATCACGTGGTCAAATTTTATTTACTTTCTTTATCAATTATATATGATAGTTATTGATGGGGAATATTATTGATGGGGAATGATGAAAAATTGTTTATAAAAGTACAAAAATAAAAAAAATCACAACAAGTGCGACGGAAAAGAAAAATGTTGCAAAAAAAATAGAAGTAAGACTACAACTAATCCACTATGAATGTGGCAGAGTAATTGTGAATCGGCAAATATAACGCCAATATGGAGAAGCGCTGGTTATTCGGATATCCCATATATCTCTAGGTATTAGTTATAGATTTCTTTTAGGGGCGGGCAAAAAAACTGAAGTAGCATGTGATGGTGTAAATTACTTGACCAGTCAAACTATACTAAACCGGGTCTAGAATAGTTCGCTTGATTTGGCAAAGTAAGAAAGGTAAGAACACGCAGATTGACCGGTAGGACTTTAGGTGGAACACCTGTAGCCCAATTTATATTATAACGGAGAATGCACGGGTGCTTTTACAAGGGAGTTTAGAGAGAATGAATTCGGATCCCTCTTTCTGAGGTTTACATGAGTATTTATACTAGGCTAAGGGGACAGGACCACGTGCGCCCACGTGGGGGCATGCTGCTGATGTGGTGCGAGGTGACTGGTTTCGTCCTCGAGCTNTGTCCTCTACTGACACGGGTCGCTACACGCCAAACCCTCGCAGATCCTCTTCTGCCGACACTTTCCAACCCCAGAAACTACACCGGGTAATCTCCGAGGGATGAATTTATCGAAGTCTGGAATAAATAGGATGACAACGTAGTTTGACCGGTATACTTTTTTGTGAAGTATACCGGTCACATTTTGGCCGATGATATGTCGTTTTGCTGACGATTTAAGTCTCCCTTCCAAAACTCTGGAGATTGACCGGTCAACGATTTGGCCTTCTCTTTTGACCAGTCGTGGGTGGAATCCACCCATCAATAAGCCCTCCACTTCTCGGTCATGCAATTTGTCATGAGCGGGAAGTAAAAAATCTTGAAAAATGGGTTCAAATTTTGAATTTCTATCCGTTTCCCGCTAGAATATTTCAAATTTTGAATTTGAGAAGTATCCGTTGGACACGTGTCGCGCGCTGGACGCGCCTCTCCTGCGTCCGCCCACCTTCCCCAGGTGTCATGATGGCGCCGCCTGACGCGGCGTGCCCAGAGGAAGCCACGTCGCCCTCGCTCAATTCTTCCTCGCCTATATAAAGGCCTCCACCCTTCTCCTTTGTTCACTTTCCACGATCAAGTCTCAGAGCTTTCACCGGTCAAGTTCCTTCTCTTTCGCTATCCAGCCCTCCGAGCCAAGTAAGTTTCCCCTTCCTTCTCTACTTTCCCGGTCATGTCTTCTCATAGTGATAGGATCTCCTCCTCAGAGGACTGCTCCTCTGAGGACTCCAACTCCTCTTCCTCGACCAGGTCTTCTTCTCTTGACTCTACGCCCGGTCAGGTTCCCCAGTCCTCTATTCCTGACCCGCATCCCGTTAATCAGATGCCCGGTGAAACTTTCGTGGGGAGGGATGACCCGGTCGACGACGAACCGGGCCCCCACGACCCTGAGCACGAAACCCGGGATGCGTGGGAGGAGCGGCTTCATGCTGCCGGTTACTTTCCGCTTCCCACCTTCTACGTCCTTGACATCCCTTCCCGTGTATCCAAAATTGCCCTGAACAAAATTCGTAGGAGGCTCCCGGACGGGTATACCCTCCTATACGAACCCAACTGGCCCAACATTGTCGAACCCCACCGGGAGGATAGGATAGGGTTCCACACCATTTCCCTTGATGCGGGCATAGTTTTTCCCCTTCGCCCCCTCCTAACTGAAGTATGCCACGCGTTTGGGATTTTGCCCGGTCAAATAACTCCCAACGCCCACCGGTACCTCCACTCCTTTGTAAATATCTGCACCCATCTGAAAATCTTCCCCTCTTTGCGTCTTTTCCTTTTTTGCTTCGAAGTCCTACCGGGCGGAGCTGGCTGCGAAGGCTTTGTATTCTTCAAAGCCCGCACCGGTAGGAAGTTCATTTCCGAAGTCCCCCAGAGTAACCGGGGATGGAAGGAAAAGTTTGTTTTCATCGAGTTTCCCCCCTTCTTCACTCCTCTGGCCGGTCTGAAATGGAATGACCATCTCCTCGATCAAGAGTATGCTGCACCGGCCTCCTCCCCAGACTTGGAAGCCAGTCTCGAGATCCTCATGCGCGGGGATCCTCAAACCGGGAGGATCTTCCATCAAGGCAGCTGGGTTTGGAGGGTAGATTCGGGTGGTGAGGGTACCTCCCAGGCCCGGGAAGCAGCGGGGCGCGGGGTACCCTCCCCGGGCAACACTGCAGAGGCTGAGGGCCAGAACCACCCAGGTACTTTTCACCTTTCTTGTGATTCGTAGTTTGACCGGTCAAACCGCTCGTACTTAACGGTTTTAGTTCCTTTTGCAGATATGGAGTTCGAAGAGTTCGCCATCCCCGATGACCAACCAGCGGGAGACACCGGGGGCTCCCAAGCCAATCCCGCCAGAACCTTCTCGGTCCACCAAGAGACCGTGGAGATTTTGGATGAGGACGAACCCCAGGACAACCGGTCCAAGGGGAGGGAAAAAGAGAAGACCGGTCGCCGGACCAAGAAGGTGGCCACCAACCATCCCTCTGCCATGAACAAAAGGCAGAGGACAGACCCCAGCGCGGCCTACCAGACCGTGGAGGAGGCCTACATCAACCTTGGCCTGCGGCTGAGGGAGGTAAATCATTTCTTGTCACCGGTTAACCTTTCCCTTACGCTACACAAAGATTAACCGGGTTAATATACGTTGTGCAGGTTGGGGAGATTGGGCCCGTCACCGCCGACCGGTTGGGAATGGACTCTCCAACCGAGGTGGCCCGGCTGAAGAAGAAGAACGAAGAGCTGGCTCTCCTCCTCAAGAGCCAAACGGATGAGCTGGCCAAGTTGTCCAAGATGGCCGGGTCCTTGGGGGCAGAGAACACCCGGCTGAAGGAGGAGAATGGTCGGCTACTGGACGAGGTCTCTGAGGCAAAAAGAGAGATGGCGGAGAAGGAAGAAAACTTCCCCGGGCGCGCAGCCGCCTGGGTTGAGGAAAATAAGGCCGAAGCTGCCCGGGTTCTGACGGCGAGCCCAGAAGCTACCATGGAGTCCTTCAGGCTTCTATACCGGGAGCCTGAAGGAAGGAAGATGATTACCGCCGTCGGATCTTTTGGATTCAAGTGCGGTCAAAAGAAAGACCGGGCTGCTTCTCACCGAATCTTGAAGAAAAGGGACCCGGACTTTACTGCAGCTTCATACGGCCTGGCTCCCATCCCGGAGGAAGAGCCTACTCCCCCATTTCCCCTTGATTGATCTCCCCGGCTGCGTCCGGCTGAACTATTTTATGTAAACTTCGAATCCATTTCCCCGGGAATGCCCGGTGTACTTGTAAACACTTAACTTTCTTATTCCTTTTTAATGCAATGCTGAATTTCCATACCGGTTAGTCTTCCCTATCTGCTTGCCTTTTGATTGATACTTCGCTCTTGCTTCTTAGAACGCACGTAATAGGATATTTGACCGGTATAATACTACCATTGCGTTCGACCGGTATAACTTCAAAGTTCTCTCTGGTCACTTCATTTCAAGGATCAGCCCGAGAAACTTTGACCGGTTAAACTTCAATTTTTGCTTTTCGAACGTCTTCATTTTGGCCAACTTAAAGAGTTTGACCGGCCGAACTTTACTTTTGCTTTTTGGATAGCTTCACAAATTCTTTTGGTAAAGTTTACTTTGACCGGTGAATTCCCACTCCATGGTTTGACCGGTCAACTGCCTTGCCTTTCGATGGATGTAGAACTTTCGAAGTTCTGTTGTGCCCATACCCGACCGGGGTATTCTTTTTTTTTTTTATCGGTAGGTTGTAGATGGAAACACCTGTAACCTAGAAATTCTTGAAGTATCCTTAACCGGTAAGAATACTGGAGATTTAACCATGTCGAATGGTTTCGAACCCTCTCCAAGGTCCAAATGCACCCTTCTTCATGGTCGCACTCTGGTTGAAGGAGTCCAAATGGATTTCCGGATCTTCCTTCCCGGTGAATCTGGGGGCATCGATCTTAACCTTTCGCGGGAAAGGTGTCAAATGGACCCTTGTGGTGAACGGGGACCCTGCCAGGGGTTTGTCCCGGTCATTCTTCTCTCCGACCTTCTTTTCCAGCCTTTCCAGCTTTGCCTCCATCTGCTGGACGCGGTCGTTTGGGATGGTTAACCGGTTCGCCCCCGGTAACCTGGGCTGGCTTTCTGCCTCCCCTTCCTGGTGGGAGGCCCTCGTCCTCGCTGGCTCCTGCCGGTTAGACCGGGAGCGCCGGGTGCGGGCAGGCTCGGCCT